CTTTGCACACAGCAGATGTGCACACAGCTGTTGGATGATGGTGAGTGGTTACCATGAACCAATAAAATGTCAATTCCAGACACTAAATACTTACAAGATAGAAGAGTTAGTTTCAGAATAACCAATTTCCTAACTATATTTCTATGCATTTTTTAAGATCTCTGCACTTGTCCTAAGAGCCCAAGCATCTGAGATCTTACTTGAAGAGTTACAACAGGGATTTTCCCAGGCAAAGAGGGATGTTCAGGAACAGATGGTAAGTTTACTTTTAAGTAAATGATAACTATGTTACATATATTCCTTTTTTGTTCTATCTTTACATCATCTTTGATAGGAATTTATCATCCTGTCCAAAGTAGTTACTGTGGTCTTCTCTCGGGACTGTAGAACATTAATAATGGACAAAATATTGTAAAGACATCATTCCTTTTTTAAACCTACTTTCTGGCCAAACAAAAATTTTTCTCATCGTTTAACTTATTTTTCTGTTCGGGAAACCTAAACAGAATAAACTACGGACCTACATTTAATTTTTAATTCCAAATAAAAGCTAAAAAATTGAATGTCTGAGAGCCCTAGCCGGTACAACTTTTGACCAGTCATTTTGTGATTTTCCTGGATGGCTAATTTATTTAGAATAACCTTATTAGGGCTGGGCACAGTGGCTCACGCCTGTAATCCCAGCACATTGGGGGGCCGAGGTGGGTGGATCACAAGGTCAGGAGATTGAGACCATCCTGTCTAACACGGTGAAGCCCCATCTCTACTAAAAGTACAAAAAATTAGCTAGGCGTGGTGGTGGGTGCCTGTAGTCCCAGCTACTTGGGAGGCTGAGGCAGAAGTGCTTGAACCTGGGAGGCTGAAGTTGCAGTGAGCCGAGATCGCGCCATTGCACTCCAGCTTGGGTGACACAGCAAGACTCTGTCTCAGAAAAAACAAAAACAAAACAAAACAAAAAAACCTTATTAGTTTCACAGGGGTTATGAAAAAAACATGTCACTGCTGTGGTGCTGGGGAACTTCCAGAGGGCCATCTGTTCTGAGAGGGATGGGGGCAAAGTGTTAGGAGCAAGGGCTGCCTAGAACCTTTGCGGATAGTTCCCCAGGCTTGGCCTCGCTCCTTACCAGTCTGGCTACATTTGCTTTGTTTTTCCTTTTCTCAAAGTTGGAGCCTACATCTCATGCCTCCAGCCAAATTAGAGGTGGCCCTGCTGGGGTGATGCTCCAAAGCTGATGCTTACCCGGGGATGACAGTTTAAAAAAAAAAGCCTTGGGTGGAATGGTCATTGAATGTTTTTAATTGGTATTAGGTCAGCATCTGGCCTATGAACTGATCCCTAAATCTTAAACCTGGTCTGTAGGGAAGCATCTCATCCTAATCATTGACCCATAGTTTCATATGTTTTCTCTAATTAGACAATATAAAATAATAACACTGGCGTAAAGATCATTGTTAAATACTGACAGTTTCATAGTGGTGAGCCTCCTACACTCCTTTGTTCCCCTTGCATCTTTTTCCTTCTTGTCTGTTTTTTTATTTGAGATGGAGTTTTGCTCTTGTTGCCTAGGCTGGAGTGCAATGGCCTGATCTCCTTCTCCTGGGTTCAAGTGATTCTCCTGCCTCAGCCTCCCGAGTAGCTGGGATTACAGGTGCGCAACACCATGCCTGGCTAATTTTGTATTTTTAGTAGAGACGGGGTTTCTCCATGTTGGTCGGGCTGGTCTCGAACTCTTGACCTCAGGTGATCCACCTGCACTGGCCTCCCAAAGTGCTGGGATTACAGGCGTGAGCCACTGCACCCAGCCTCCTTCTTGTCTTTTAAAACCCATCAGCCTTTGCAGACACTTTTCAAGCTGGTTTCACTTAAAACGAATGTGTGTGAGTGACACTGGAGAATTGTTGAAATTAAGGTTGAGGTCCTATGAACTCTAATACATGACCATTTTGTTGAAATTACCATGAGTGAGAGACACTCTCACCACCTTAGTGCATGCTTGCCCTTGTTCTGAGTCTTTCTGTGTATGTTTGTAGGTATATGATGTGTGTGTGTGTATGTCTTGGTTTGTGTTTTTTGCTGGACTATTTGGAGTTATTGTAGATATGATAGTCATAAGTATTTTAGTATGTATTTCCTAAAACAAAGAGTTGTTCTGCATTGCTACAGTACTATTATTACATCCTTAAAATTTAACCAGTTGTCCCAATAAGTCCTTGATTATTTTTTAGTGGTGGTTTTCCTTTTTATATTTTCTATATTTTGATCCAGGAACCAATCAAGGATCACATAATTTCATCTTGTTGTCATGTTGCCTTAGTCACTTTTCATCTAGAACAGGCTCCCACTCTTTTTTTATTTTTAAGAATCCAGGCCGATTGCTTTGTTTTAGGCCAGCTGTCTTGTAGAATTCATTTGTCTGATTATCTCCTTGTGATGTGATTCAGGTTAGACATCTTGGCACGAATACTGCGTAGATGAAATGGTTCAATGGGAGGTTCCTAACATCATGAGGCACGTTAATGATGAGTGCTTC